GAAGGCGTCACACTGATTTCGAAGTTTCTTTGCGATGCCTAAAGACATCTCTAACAAACCTGCAGCGTGAAATTTCGGGCGCAGATCTGACAGGCGAGTCAATACTTGACGAATAAACAACAGCGTAGGTCCATCCTTACTTATATATTTTTTGTTGCTTGCCAATTCTTTGAGGAGAGCGTCGGGCAATTGTGCGAAGGACTTTCTGAGTACTGGCCGGCTGGCCGTTGTTTGCTCAAGAGTCACGTGAGGCAAGCTTTGAAAGAATCTTCGAACTTCTTTGTCCAAGTGTAGACAGTCCATGGTTCTTGGTCGGTTTGCGATTACACCGGTGTCGCGTAAAATGATACGAAAATACGAAGCCTAGACAGACATCTACAATGTTTGGCGATTTCACTTTTGATTGATGAGGGTAATAAATACAACGAGCGAGATGCTTATGAATCGTCCTTTTTTTTCGTCTGAAAGCGCTACAATAATAATAATAATAATAATAATAATAATAATAATAATAATAATAATAATTATTATTATTATTATTATTATTATTATTATTATTATTATTATTATTATTATTATTATTATTATTATTATTATTATTATTATTATTATTATTATTATTATTATAACATGACGATTTTTTTTACGGCTTTCTGAAAATGATCGCCCCGCCATGGTGGTCTAGTGGCTAAGGTACTCAGCTGGTGACCCACAGGTGGCGGGAACGAATCCCGACTTCGGCGGCTGCATTTTCGACGGAGGCAAAAATGCTGTAGGTCAGTGTGTTTAGGTGAACGTTAAAGAACGCCACGTGGTCGAAATTTCCGGAGCCCATCATATAGCGTCTCTCATTATCATATGGTGGTTTAAGACGTTAAACCCCACATATCAATTATTAATTTCTGAAAATGATCAGTGTAGCCTAGCTGCGCATTTGCCATTGATGAAAATTCTTGCTGACCTTCGCCTAATATGAAATGGTAAAGATATAGGCGTCAAATGAAACTCGAAAAGCAACAAGCATTCGCAGCAGTCAGTATTCGCCTCGACATGGAGCAGAGTCACCGCCTGGTATCCACTGTCTGGAGCACGCCTAGTGTGGATTGCTTCCTGCGTTGTCTGCCATCCACATAAGGCTATAGCATGTGCGCGTACGTTATGTCCAACGTTAAAGGTTGGTTTGTTCCTCTGTGTTAGTGCAAGTTGAACTGCTTGTACGTTTTTTAGCACTATATATGTTTAGACACATTTGGCCTTGCTCGGCTGCATATGCACTGCAATATGATCTGTTCGATGCACTTACCGAGAGTGCTGTGTATCGTCGTCATACCCTCTTAACGCCAGGATCATTTCGTCGTAGGTGCCCCTCCATCGTCGGGGCACATACATTGTGCATTTGACGTCGTCCCAAATATGAGGAACGTGTGTTATGGCAGCCTTTTGGTGACTCAGCGATAAACGGTGTTTTGCATTGTTGTTTGTGATTTAGCTGTGGTGCTATTACCTATAGGTATATAATTTACACGACGAACTTTAATTCTGCTTGAGATAAATTTTTACTACGGTCCTGATCGCACTACAGCGAGATATTTCTGTTTAGTGAATTCCGACACTTCGGTTATTGCTGCTTAATGGGAACAGACAATGGAATGACAAGAAATTAAACTTGAGTCACCACGCACAATTTTACTGTTGCGCAAAATTTATATAGACACACCTGTGTGCTTAGGTTAGGATCCACAATAAAGACTCCAGATGGTCAAAATTTTTCCAGACAACGTGTCTCAATTTTTTTTATTCATACCAATACAGTAATTGCTGTCGAGTAATTTCATGCAAAACGTCATGTCTTTGTCACATCTTCAGTGCTTTTGTCTGATCAATTAGGCGAACCTTTGTTGCATCACTGTCGTGCAGATATAATTAATCGGAGAAAGCCACGTGCTGAATGGTTACCTTTTGATAATGTTATTAGAGCAAAAACAAGCGCACTCGAGCGCTGTCAGCCACGTAACACACCTGAATAAACTTATCAACTGTCCTACGTTCATTTCACGAAGAACTGAATCAGAAAAAAAATGCGGATAGGTATTCGCGGTTATTTTAGCTCATCGCCCAAGACCATGGAATTTCATTCTCATCCTTTTATTATTTTTTGGTATCCCAGACCAGCGTGCATGTGGAAAGCAATAAATTTAGTCGCGCTACTGCAGTGTGTAGTAGGCGGGACACAATCTCAACATTACAAATAAATATACCATAAACGTAGAGTGCAGAGTGGCCAAGCGCGTAAGTATCCCTTTCAAAGGCAGGTATAGCGTTTCTTTCACGAGTATAGTAATGTAACATTGATTGGGCTGACTCGGTGCATTCATTCGGCAACGCACAACAAACATATTGTGAGTAAACTGCAGTCAACGCATTTTAATCGCTAACAATTGGCTTAAACCGCTCACAGAAAGGCGCCTCTGCGTATATTTGTGTGGGCGCTGCTGGCCGCATATATATGGTGCAAAATCAGAGCGCAGCTATAGCCTTTCAATTGTGATTGACTTTAGAGCACGGGCTGTACCTTTTGTCTATTTCTAATGCTTGCCGCTGTTCGGGTTTTATTTGACGCTGATAGTAGCTGTAACACACCGCAAGCAGCGGTTACAGTATTCAAGAGAGTGAGCACTGTTTGAAAGTTAGTACAGATGCACGCGTAAACAGGCACACAGCAACGAGCAGCAATTATCTTATATACCAGAAAAACAAAGTATCCTATGTAATAAAACCACGTAGTTCCTGCTAGGTTATTAAACCACGTCAGTATTCGTCAATCGTGCACGAAGTAATGAAATGATTCCTAAATTTGATCTGAGTTGACCAGTTTCTGCGGCCGATTTCTCACTTGATGTGATTAAAACACTCTCTTATGATACCTAAGTCAAGCTTACTAATGTCAAAATAAGTATACGCATATGTAATTAAGGCTGTTTCTTCAATATTTACGTCAATATATATCACGATAGTATGGAATACTTGTTGCTGTCTGACGTCGCAAAACCATCATATGAATATGGAGAACGCCGTGTAGGAGGGCTCCGGAAGTGTTCACCACTTTGAGTTCTACATATATAACGTTCAAGTAAATCAACGTACACGGACGTATAGCATGTCGAGACCTCCAATAGGCGGCCGCCGCAGCCGGTATTCTATCAGCACAACCTTCGGGTGAACATGTCCGTGTCATCACGTGAATACGTTAGGGTGAAATATGTTCTTACACGAAGCACTACATAGGATCGTCTGCGGACGTAGGTCTCTATCTGCGCTAGTTTGCGATCGCAGAAATAGCTTTACATTTGCTTTAAAATGGCAAATAAAAAAGCCGGTTTGAGTTAAACAGATACGAGTTCTCGGTCTTTTATTGTACATTCCACCTGCATAGTGTTGACATATTTGCCATAGTGGTGCGCGAACAAGAAATTTCGCAACCACATCGCTTCATAAGGTGGCGCTAGAGAGTAGTTGGAAAGACTTTATGCTTGTCATGCGCTACAACATAGGACACAGAATACAGAAAACCGAAAACACAGGTTCTAGTTTGTGCCTCAATGTCTTACCTTGCAGCGCATCATGAACATGTAGACGATTCGCTTCCGAATCACATAGCGGGGATACCGAGTCGAATATGAATGCGAACAGAATACTATTCGAATAGTTTTCAAATCGTAAACCAACCACTTTCAAAGCAGCTCTAAAATGTCATTGTTTTCGAAACAGCCTAAGAATTTCAAACGATTTCATTTGAATATTCAAACATTCGAAAATTTCAGCAAAGGAAGACTTTGATTACTTTTAACCTACAAAATATTACCAGAGTTCTTTCAGCTGAAGGAAACTGGTGTGTCACTAAAGACCTATAGGAATATTTTTAGCGGAAATAAATTACAACGGAGAATATAGCACTGTGTGAAGAGATTTTGAATAAAAGTAATGTATAAATATGAAACAATACTCACGAGTCAATGTCATAAGGAGTTTCATGGTTATATGATGATTATAGTGAATTGAAGACTGTGTCGTGTTAGCAATACTGGCTATTTTCTGCGAAAACGTCTCCATCCCGTGATCAGTATATGGTGGATAGTCCCGTAAGGCTGTCGGTTGTATGCGTCTTGTTTATTCGCCGAATAAAACCAGGAACGTTGACTCTGTACGTTCAACGTTTCGTTATTTTGAGATTTTTTAACAAGTGCTGATTATTAGAAAACTGTTCGGTATATGGTGCATAAAGTTGCAATGTATGTCTTTTTTTATGTAACGTATTATGTGCCTTACATTTTGTTTCTGGATGACAATCGCGTTGTCATGCTAATTTTCTACACAGTGTAATCATTTCGCTTTCAATCTGCTGTTAATATATGTATTAAATCATAACTACAATATGAACGCGTGGTTGTGGCGCACTGCCTGTGAGGTGCTATCTCCGTGTTAACCGCCGTGCTGCTATACCACTATGACTTTTTTATTTGTAAGTATTTTTCTGCAATTTTTTGTATGGGTCTGTGAACTAGTCAAGCTGTTTGAAAACAGTGCCATTTCTTCGGCGTGTTGGTAAACGGAACTTGACATTTTGAGCGCTAAGAGACGGGGGACATGAGAAAGAGAGAGGACAACACTTTTTTTTTACAGTCCTGTCTTACAGTACAACAGAACAGAAAATAAACTTTGATTTCATTGAATTTGACTCTTTATAGTATGCTGTACTAAGTTCAAGTAGCGAATCAAATGAAAGTTTTCAAATATTCCCGCACCACTGAACTTTACAACTGAAACTGTGCAGGACAAGTGCTGCTTGATGTGCACAAGACAAGTGTCTGTCCTGAGCAACAATGTTCTTTTCCTTTCCTGTGTTGAAGCCACGTTATCCAGTATTTAAGATTACGATCCGAGTATCACGACAACTAAATTTGATTGTCTTGAAAGATCTAAGGAAAGAGTTTGGCAAAAAATACAGTGAATCAGTATACACTTTATTTGTGAGGAGAAAATTAGCAAACGCTTCATGAAAGCATGACCAAAGCAAAGCAATTATCACATCTACACCAGAAACAATAACAGGTCATGCAAACAAACGTAAAATATGATTAAAGCAGTTTTCTTTATGGCAGTGTCAACGCTTCACTAGAATTCAAGCTCGTGATACAAACAACAAACATTCATTCCTGCGTTTCGCCATAGAAGTCTTCAGCAACAACACAGCAAAGTGCGATTTCGTTTTATATACATGGAAAACTTGAGCTCAGGAACAACGCACAGCAGAAGCGGTGAGGTTAACTGACGCCGGCATTGTTAGCATTTGTTATTAGCTGTACCTGAAGACGTAATATTTGCAGCAATACGTTGTGTTTATATTGAGCAATCATAAGATTAATCAGAAATCTTGAAATCATAGATATTGACACATATACGAGCAGCTAATGGTGAACTCCCCGGTACACACATTTAGTCTGTGCATCTTTCGTTTTCTTTCGTTATTAATTTTTTAAAAAAGAAGCCCGTAGTTCGTCTCTGTTTCACCACTTCACTGATAACAGATAGAGGAGCCGTCTGATCCTCGGAAAACGTGTTTCAGCGGAAGCTACTTTGAATCTGCTCGGCTTTGGAAAAGGAATGCTGTTGTGGAAGTTATTTGACAATCTTGAAGTATGAAACGTTCACAGAAGAAGCAAGCTTTGAAATGCTGCTTTGGACGTTATGGTGCTGCTACGTCACCCACCTTCTAATATTTTTCTTGGACGTATGCAAGAAAAAGGATCCTTGATTTTCAGTGTGAATCAATCTTACACATGTTTCTTCTTATGCTGCCGCCATTGAAGGTGATATGGCTGGTGTGGCCTGTAATGTATTCAAGGTTTTTGCAAGATTTGCTAGTGAAAGTTGCGTTCAGAGATGAGATTGTCGCGTTTGATGAACTGAAACAAAATGCCGACAAAACACAATGTGAGTGCTCCTGCAGGCTAAGCCTGTGCGCTCTGCTGTCGACTTCCACGCAGACTTTGTGCAGAAGACCGAGTTTTCTTAGCCTTGAACTTGCTGCGAACCTCTGGGCATTCTGGGTCTAAAAATAAAAAATAAAATAAATGTAACACATTTACAAGTTATTTGTTAATTATAACGCTTGTGTACAAAATTTAAATGTAGGGAATATTGTTGTAGGCATTTAATTGATTGATTGATACGTCATATGATTATGAGAGACGACCATGTGATTATGGTCGTCTCTCATAATCATATGATTATGAGAGACGACCAAAACGTCCATATGATTATGAGAGACGCCGTAATGAATGGAGGGCTCCAGAAATTTTGACCTTCTGTGGTTCTTCAACGTGCACCTAAATCTGAGTACACAAGCCTACAGCATTTTTACCTCCATCTAAAATGCAGCCACCACAGCCAGGATTCGATTTGGGGACCTCCGGGTCAGCAGCCGAGTATTTTAGCCACTAGAACACCGCGGCGGGGTGTGTAGGCATTTAAGGCGTTGGGAATGTAAATAAACGGGAGATTTTTGGTGACGGAAAACATCATAGTTCTTTATCTGATGGCCAAATCAGGTCTATGAAGTTCTATTAAACATGCAGAACACCAACATACTGTAGAATTCGAAACGTGCTCTTGCAGTGGCTTTTGATGACAGGAAATATTTCGAAGCCTAGTACCCAGCGCTTCCGCACCATGCATTTTATTCCCCTTATCTGGCCCCCCTCCAAAATAAGCCACTTAATACATCTGTGATCCCTGATTATGATGAAAAGCGATAGCCATAAATTTCATTTTCGTCTCCAGTCATTGTACTAACACCCCCCCCCCCCACCCCCCACCAAAAAAAAGCTTCTTGCAGCCAACGTGGTTTCCCTCCGCCTCCGACATATAGACCCGCCACCTTTGACCAAGCGACGATGCCATGTAATCGCGTCATGATACAGAGTCAACTAATAGTGATGCTGAAATGACCTCACGTCATGGAGCACTGACATCGCATCATTATTATTTTTTCATCATTCATGGTGGCGACGACGACCTGTTTTCACCATTTGATTAGTCATGTGGGGGGTTCCACTTCAATAAAGTAAAGTGAACGTCTGAGCCCGGCACAAAGTTACACACAAATTATGTGATGATTTTCTTCTCCGTTGCCACTTTTGCACTCTTGTTGTTCTTGGCACGTGAAGGAGAAATGTCCGGGTGTATAATGTGCTTCTTTAATGACGAAAGCCTTGTATGTCATCATCAAATGCTGAAATTTACGTCGACATCAACATAGGTGACGAAAAATAATGATCACGTGATGATGTCACTTAATGACATCATCATTGCGTTACGTAACGTGACGTGACCACATGAGGTCATTGCTTGCTCAAAGGTCAGTGATCACAAAGGCAGCCCCAGCGCATTCGATGGACAGAAAGCTAGAAAGGCCTCCGATCCCGGAGGCATAGCGAAATCACGTTAGCCGCAGAAGGCTTTCGAAGGGTGGCGCTGAAGGTTTAATACATAGACTTAATAGAGAAGAAGAACAAGGTATTTGCCCTTGAATCGACGCAGCCGGAGGCTTGAAGAACCATTCGAAAGCTGTTGTACACATCGGGAACAGCCATTACATGCGAGTGCTACGTGTCGTAAGCACTTTCTACGCTAAACAAATGGTACTTGTTGCCGCGTGTCCTCGGGAGGCTGGGAAAAGCGTGGGTGTACTCACAGAGCGACTGAACCGGCGTGCATACCCAGGTGAGCCACCTCCGCCAGCTCCCACGCACGGAAGCACTCCCGTGACGGAATTTAAATCTTCGCGTGGCAAAGAAAGTGCAACTGGCAACGCGGAAGCAAGCAACGCGTCCCCTCTTGAGTTACCAAGTACTGGAGCATCGCCACACAACCCCCCAACTTCTATGTTGTTTTATATTCGTCTTGTTCCCCAAGCGCTCATTGGGGTGTTTAAAAAAGAAGCTCCTTCGTACGTGAGTACATCGCGAGCGTGATTCACGGCATAATAGTTTCATCTAAAAAAGCGGGCACATAGAACTAATGTTTGGACACACAACCGTATTTCTTAGCAGGAACACCCCAGTTTCCCGGTTCAAAGCCAGCCAGGCGTTCACCGCCGCGGTCCTTATGAGTGATTTAGCCCGGCTTCATACAAAAGCCAACTGCGCCACTTCAATTCCTCATCATCACTGCCGTATTGGAAGTAAAGAAAAAAAGAAAACTATGCTAGACCTTCATCTTTGCGTTTGCTCGCTCTCTTGGTTAATGTTTCAGCTTTTATATTTTTCTATGTCAGTGGCTTTTCTTACAATGTGATGAGACAGGATGTTCGCTGAAGCTCACAGAAACGGTCCCAGCCTGCACGTAATTAGAGGTGCATGTTCTGGTCCCCATTGTGCCCCCTCGTGTGGAGACTCATGACAGCTGGGCACAACAAATGGACGTCTTTTTTGTTTTTGTTTTTAAGCTCTCTTCACGGTTTAAGATCGGCACCAAAAAAAATAAGGTATATACAGTATTGATATATACCCTCTTTACAATTTCGTATTCTGTTGCGTTGAGACCGAGGCGCGAGAAGAAAAGAAAACATCCCCACCCAGGTACTTCACGCAAATGGTTAACTATAGTGAAACTAGAACACGCAGATCAGTGTTTCTGATTGGGCTAACCTCGAAGGTTAATAAGTATTTCACGTTAATTGGTTAGGTCTTTTTCGAATCCTTAAGTGGTCCATCGCCCATGTGTTCTTTTCATTATTAGTGGACCAGTGGTGCGTATTAAAATTTGCTAAATGTGTGGGACATGTAAACTTTCGTCCGCAAACGATTCCGTCCACCTTAGCATTGATGGGTAATGTGTTTAGAAATAGTGGTTAGCGATTTACAGTAGTTAGTACTCTACTATGGGAGAGCTGAAAGCCGTCCCGAGAAAATAAGGGTTGATCAACTTCTGCAGGATACAAGAGACAAGGGCTGACAGGGCTGTACTGCATCGATATAACCGAATTTTCATGGCCCATGTGTGCTTGAAGCTTTTGAACTCTTAGCCAAAAAGCTATAGGCCCGTGTGCTTAGGCATTTGGTGCACGTTAAACAAAATCCAGCTGGTAGAAATTTTCAGAGCTCTCTACTGCGGTGTTTCTCATAGTCATTTCGTGGTTTGGGACGTAAGACCACGACAATCTTCGTTATGACATCTTGTTACTATATTGAAGTTCATCTGTATGTGTTTAGGTTTCATTTTTCAAGAAGTGTTTGGTTTAGATTGGCTTATTCAAGAAAAAATTGTTACAAGATTCTCTCGGGGCACACGAGTCACACAACTAAAGGCTGAGTAATTGCCTGACTCAGTCGTGCCACCATGGCCGCAAAGCAGAAGGAAGACATCAGTAAGCAGAAGGACTATAGGCATAAAACACAAATTGTATGTATTGTTCTATATGCCTTTCATGGCAAAAAGAAACTGAGAGAATACCGAGACCACATATATCCACAGAGCTCCCCCTGAAGTGGTTGCAATATAACAAATGCATGCTTTCAATCATCATTACTACAAGAAATTCCTTGACTAGGGCATACTCATGCTCTGCAGAACAAATTAGATTATACTCTAGAATAATTAAGCTATAGTAAAAAAACGTGTCAAAAGAGGAAGAGATAAGTGTTTGCAGAATTTGAAAAACCAAGCAAAACATCACTTTGTTCTGGTAGGAGTTCATTAGCTACTTTTTTTAATGATTTAGATGACATTTCACCCTCCAGTGAATATAGTAAGCTTAGGTACATGGCTTACGACGTCTAGACCAGCACCCAACCAAACATGTAGGGTAGAAGCGATTAAAGCAAATATAACTGATAAACGAGTGATGAAAGCAAATAAAAGTGGCAACAACAGCGCACCTGGTGATTGTTCCCTCCAGTGGTCGAGGTTTAGGGAAGGTATCTCCGTGCAGTGGAGGATGCCACCGGGTTGCCGATCTGGTAGGGTGAACACGTCGCGAGTGACGTGCGTGATGTTGTCACCATTCTCGCAGAGTACGCGCGCCAGTGAAGAGCGCTTCAGTTCCTCGCGTTGTTCAGCAGTGAAGGTGCCCTCGTTCAGGTACCACAGCCTGATAACAATGAAAAAAGCACGGGAAAAATACGATGAGAGAAGACATTTTGTCATACACGGTAAAAATACTCCTGATGGTAAAATAAATAATGGTGCTCATTAATTTTTTTTCTTTAGGGGTGAAGCTCCTTGAGGCGTGGGTTGTGCATCCCCTGTATGTAGCCACTTCTTGTTTAGTTTTTGCAGTGTTCACTAGATGGCGGCACTTGTAGCTGATGATGAAAGGATGCAAGATGTTATAAGCTGGACGGCGGTACTTGTCGTTGATGATGAAAGGTGCGAGATGTTATAAAATAGGAATGATGTCACATATGGTGCGTGTCATTGGTGGAAGGCAATTGTTCGATTTAGTGTGGCGACGTACGCTAGGGGGAGCGTTGCAATAAAATCGAGTGGGCAAAATGTACGGATGATTCATGGTTTACAAAGTTTACCTACGGAGCTTCGTCCACTCGTCATCATTCACTTCGTGCATATGATGGCACTTTTTCAAAATGCGGCTAGGGTACATTGTTGTGGCACATGACCCCACGTTGGGCGCCACGTGTCTTCGAAGGGGCGGTGGATGGCCGGAGCCCTTAGAAGAGAACGCGGAGGTGACGAGAAAAATCATGAGACACCCAGTTTACACTGAACCAAAATAAACTGAGGTAACCTGGAAAACGCTGTAGACTGCTTGTCTTCAGCGCATTCTCTTATCCGTTTTTTTAACGACTCACAAGTTGAAGTAAATGTTTACTTTTATACTAACCGAGTTGTTGAACGTAGGAAGGGTAGTAATTATTTACCACACCGAGGCTATGAGCGAGCATAAACAGTGCAATTTTTACTTTCTTTACACGGTTTTAGGGGGAACTTCTGAGAGCTATTTGAAGAAACAAATAAAAAGTGACGGATGCACTCGCACAAAAATTCCACAAATATATATATTAAATGACGCAGAATTGATGACACATACAGCTACTACATAAACACAAACGCACCCACACAACCAATGTAGAATAAAACACCACCTGAACTGATTTCTCCCTGTTTAACGCGAGAGCAATAAAGAACTCATTTCGCTGAAATTTCGACATTGGCTTCGTAGGTTATGAGTGAACAAACCATTATTTGCGTGACCGAAAAATTGAGCATCTTTGCAGGACCAAAAAGCAAGAAAGATGCAAATAAAATAAGTAATAAAAAAATCTGAGTCTGAGTAGGCATCGAACACTGGTCGTTTGCGTGGCGGGTGTTCTACCACAAAGCCACGTCTCCGTTTGTGAATACAGTGAAAATAACTTCCTCTACTTAAAAATGCAGTGAGAGTAACTTTCATGTTTTACAAACACACACGTCCTGTCTACATGCTTCACAATACAACCTGAAATATTGCCGTATTAATGCGTGGTACAAGCGAACATCAGCATCGGGCGTCAGAACATGGGATTATCATGACGACTTCATAGTTTGAAGTCAGTCCCCACCTACCAAAGGCACACACTTTACTGAACCCACGTATAGTGGGTGCACCCATCGCAAGTTTGAAAAAGGTTTCATTCACTAAGTTTTTTGAAGAACGCGCTACAAGAACAGAATAACGCTATCACGTTCAACTCTTCAAGGCGAAGCTTAAGGGTACCCCAACTTTTTTTTTTCGTATTAGAACGGACCGCTCGCGTTACCCAACTGTACTTCGACATTCCGGTAAAATGCCGGTAGGAAATCGCTATGTTTTTTTTTTTTTTTGCTTCGATGCGCAAATAAAGCTTCATAGCTCACGCGTAAACATAAGGTGCGTTGTGAGCCACCTTGAATCCCATTAGCCTTTTAGTATAAACCCGCCCGATATCATCTTTTCAATTATCCAAAAGTGGTCTGTTGGCCCCACCCGCGTTGGCACAGCTGATGCACACGTGCACAAAATATACATGTGCATACACAGACCACGGCAGCTCGGTCATTTTCATTGAGCGACGGTGCGCAAACACCGTAAAGCAGCCCGTATTCAGGAACGTGAGCGAACACCGGTCACACGCCAGTACAGGCTTCTTACCGACGGCATCACTAGGTCTTCTCAAGGAGGCCAGCTATGCGATGAAAGGCAGTTGGCAATCACAGAACGCTTCTTCGTGCAAGCGTTGCATGTTCAGTGCAGCGTGATGAACGCTACGGTCCTTGGAATTACTTATGTATGACTTTTCTAGTAAAACGCGCACATGCAGAATATATACGTGTTGTTATCGTGCCTCAGATATGCGTAATAAATGTTTTTTAATTGACAATCGCACAAGTATGAACGCTGAACCTTGAGCAACATTGGTGGGCGCTGCGGATGGGGTCGGCCGTTTGGAATATCATCTGGTGCTGTTTAGAGTACCCGGTTTGCGTTAAGGGTGGACAAACAGACGAATTTACAGGCAGACAGACCAAAGTTTTCGCGTCGAAGGTGCCCAAGAAATACTATCATCCTTAAAATCATCATCATCATCATCAGCCTGACTACGTTTATACTGCAGGACAAAAGCCTCTCCCATGTTCCGCCAGTTAACCCGGTCCTGTGCTTGCTGCTGCCAATTTATGCCCGCAAACTTCCTAATCTCATCTGCCGACCTAACCTTCTGTCTCCCCCTAACCCGCTTCCCTTGTCTGGGAATCGAGTTAGTTACCCTTAATGACCAGCGGTTATCCTGTCTATGCGCGACATGCCCGGCCCATGTCCATTTTCTCTTCTTTATTTCAACTATGATATCCTTAACCCCCGTTTGTCCCTTAATCCACTCTGCTCTCTTCTTGTCTCTTAAGGTTACACCTACCATTTTTCTTTCCATTGTTCGCTGCATCGTCTTCAACTTAACCTGAACCCTCTTTGTAAGTCTCCAGGTTTCTGTTCCATGGCTAAGTACCAGCAAGATACAGCTGTTATATACCTTCCTCTTGAGGGATAGTGGCAATCTACCTGTTATAATTTCAGAGTGCTTGCCGAATGTGCTCCACCCAATTCTTATTCTTCTAGTTACTTCAATCTCGTGGTTCGGCTCTGCGGTTATTACCTGCACTAAGTAGACATAGTCTTTTACAACTTCAAGTCCACTATTACCTATCTCGAAGCGCTGCTCTTTTCCGAGGTTGTTGTACATTACTTTTGTTTTCTGCAGATTAATTTTAAGACCCACCTTTCTGCTCTCCTTCTCTAACTCCGTAGTTACGAGTTGCAAATCGTCCCCTGAGTTACTCAGCAATGCAGTGTCATCGGTGACGCGCATGTTACTAAGGTACTCTTCATTAACTCTGATCCCTAACTGTTCCCATTCTAGGCTTCTGAAAACCTCCTGTAAGCACGCGGTAAATAGCATTGGGGAGATTGTGTCCCCCTGCCTTACACCCTTCTTGATTGGTATTCTGTTGCTTTCTTTATGGAGCACTAAGGTAGCAGTTGATGCCCTGTAGATTTCTTCCAGAATGTTTATATGTACTTCATCTACACCCTGATTCCGCAGTGTCTGCATGACGGCTGATATTTCTACTGAATCAAACGCCTTCTCGTAATCTATGAAGGCTATGTATAGTGGTTGGTTATATTCTGAGCATTTCTCTACTACCTGATTGATAGTATGAATGTGGTCAGTTGTTGAGTAGCCTGTTCGAAATCCTGCTTGTTCCTTTGGTTGATTGAATTTTAATGTTTTCTTTACTCTGTTAGCAATTACCTTTGATTGATTGATTTGTTGGGTTTAACGTCCCAAAACCACTACATGATTATGAGAGATGCCGTAGTGGAGGGCTCCGGAAATTTCGACCACTTGGAGTTCTTTAACGTGCACCCAAATCTGAGTACACGGGCCTACAACATTTCCGCCTCCACCGGAAATGCAGCCGCCACAGCCGGGATTTGATCCCGCGACCGGCGGGTCAGCAGCCGAGTACCTTAGCCACTAGACCACCGTGGCGGGGATAGCAATTACATTTGCAAATAGCTTGTATACTACAGAGAGCAAGCTGATCAGCCTGTAATTCTTCTAGTCCTTGTCATCTCCTTTCTTATGTATTAAGATGATGTCTTTAATATATGGAGTGAATCACTCCCAAAATGAACAAGATGGCTCACCATCCGGATATTGTCCGGGCTTGCCAGCGGCCACACGTTGGTTCTACCTGCACTTTACTCCAGCAGACCATCCATTGTCCGTGCGCCCGTCCGTCCACCCGCCCGTCGATCTAGCGAACACTCCAAGTACCACCATCTCGCATCTTTTCATGATATATTCATCATACATACAAGTACCGCCATCCAGCATAAATTCCAATGACTAAACGAGAGCTGGCTACCTATTAGTACAACTACAACCGCTACCACTACTACTGCTACTACATACATCAAAGACGCACAACCCACGGCTAAGGAGCTTCGCCCTTAAAGTGAAGCCATTGCCAGCTTTTATCGTATCTAGCAAACGTTCCAGGCAGTTTCTTGGTCAAAGGCATCGTTTCCATTTTTGTAACCCTGTTGAGATGTTCATTTTAGAGGGAAAGATCCTTAAGCCGTTGGTCATCCGTCCGCTATGTATGTAGTCACATACATAGCGGACGCTAGTCACATACATAGTCGCATACACAGCGGAGTAGTAGCAGTAGTCATCGTCATAGTACTAGGCAGCCACCTCTCGTTTAGTCCCTGGAATGAATGATGGTACTTCTATATAAATGAATGTAGGATGAAAAGATGTGAGATGATGGTACTTCATGGAGTGTTCACTAAATAGATGGACGAACGCATGGAAAATGAATGGACGGACACGCGGACTTACGGACTCGCAGACAAACAGACTAATGCACGGACGGACGTACAAATGGATGGATGCATGGACGGATGCACGAATGAATGCATGATTGGACGGGTGGACGCAAGGACAAACGCAGGGACGGACGGACGGAAGGACGGATGGATGCACGTACAGACGGATTGACGCACGGAAGCGTGCACGGACGCACGGAGGGACGCGCGAGAGAACGCAC